TAAAAGGTTTTGCACTTTACTGCCCACATCTTGACGGGCAATGAGTCCACTGGAAATGTTTAACACTTCATGGGGAAGCTTCCGAGATTCATTGCTCAAAGTTACAAAAATTACTGAAGAATCTCTGGAGGTATCTTCCAGAGCAATCTCTGAAAGTCACAACTGAGAGTTAACAACCTCTTTACTATCTTCCACTTTTAGATCAGACGGAAACTACAAGTTCAAGTCACCAGAAATGAAAATCAAAGGAAATATCACAATTAATTTTGATGAATGGGTAAGTTTTAATTCATGTATGGCAATATTCTGGTTAATGATATGTCTCCTTAGGACATCCATTAAAAATCCATTAACTTAACAGGTTAAATCTAATAAAGTTACTCTGGAAATTTTCTGCTAGATTAACATTATGGATTTTTAACAAATATTTCCTGTAGGTATTGCTCTATTAGCAAACCTAACATAATAATTAAACATGGGTTTTGTGTCAGGGTGGGGGGAGCACCAAATGTTAAAATAAAAAAATCAGAGTTGAGGTTGGACCCAAGTCACCGAAGATACTACTAAAATCAGTAAATATCATTATAGCTTTTAAAAGCAAAAAGTGCCATCCGACTAGGACCAGCCATCTCAAGTCAATTTACTCACTTACTAATCACATAGTATTTGAGCTACTAAAGTGTACCATCCCCTATGCCGGGACTGAGGACACAAAGGTAAATTAGTGAAAATCCTGATGTCAAGGAGCTCACAGGAGTATAGAATCAAGACACATACAAGTAATCAATGTATACTATACTAAGATATGGTCAATATACCATGAGAACACTCAGAAGGAACAACCAAATTTAGGGGGTGGGGGGCACAAGTAATTGAAGTTGAAATTTGTGTTCCAATAAGATATTAGCTCCTTCTAGGGCCTCCCATTGGGAAGGTTTCAATCCTGACTTAGCATTTATTACTTCTGCATGGGGTTAGATGAGATTACTCATCAAATTTTCATCTGCAAACAAGGTAACACTACTTTTGTCATGGATTGTGAGAATTACATGCAACAAGGTCTGGGAAAGCACAGAAAAATGTGCTTGAAATATAGAAAAGGAAGCAGGGTTAGTATTTACGTCGCCTACCATTCATAGGCACACAATGAATATTATTAATTGAAAGTCAGTATAGCAAAAGGGTTAGAGCAGGATTTGGAATCATCCAAACATGGGTCTATATTCTGCCTCTACCATTTGCAAACTGTGCAACCATCATTTAAACACTTTTCCCTTTCCTGACCCTCAGGTTCTTCAGCTATAGAAGTGGACAAATAAAAATAACTCTACTACACGGTTTTAAAAATTTACAAAGATAATGGTTAGGATGCAATAGTATCATGTCCAAGAAGCAGTAAGCTATTAGTTTTCATTGCTACCATTAATTATGCCTTCACAGGTAAGACTATATGGAAACATGATGAGACTCAGTCTAAGTTCACACCATTAGCGCCAGAACTAGAACCACTCTAGTTCCCAGTTCAGTGTTTTAGACCCATCTTGCCTATAACCCCTCAATTACAAGACAAAAAAAACCTTCCCTTGGTACTCAGTCCTGATGGTTCTCCATCAAGGCAGCAAGCTCATGGGGTGCCTCCAGAACAGCAGCGTGGGGACTCAGGACTTGATGGCTCTGCTTTAGCTCTAATGACCATGCACTAATACCCTGGTGCTATGGGCTGAATTGAGTCCCCAAAATTAATACGTTGAAGCCCTAATCCCCAACGTGACTATATTTGGAGATAGGGTGGGTAAGGAGGTATTTAAGGTTAAATGAAGTCAAAAGGGTAGGGCCCTGGGGTGCCTGGGTGGCTTAGTCAGATGAGTGTCTGACTCTTGATTTCAGCTTAGGTCATGATCTCACGTGAGATCAAGCCCTGTGTTGGGCTCTGCACTCAGTGGGGAGTCTTCATGAGAGTCAGTCTCTCTCTCTAAAATCAATAAATAAATCTTTAGAAAAAGGGTGGGGCTCTGAGCCAATAGGATTTGTGCCCTTAGAGGAAGAGACACTAGTGAGCACTCTCTTGTGCGCACTCTCTGCACATGTACAAAAAAGAGGTCATGTGAGCACACGGTAAGAGGCAGCTGCAACAGCCAAGAAAAGAGGCCTCAGAACTAAACTCACTTTGTTGGCACTTTGATCTTGGACTTTCCAGCCTCCAGAACTGTGAGAAACAAATTTCCATTGTTGTAAATCACTCAGTCTATGGTGTTTTGCTACAGCAGCGTTGGTGGACTAAGACACCCAGGACATCCCTTTGCCACAGTTTTCTCTTCACTCTTGCCATCTGTCTCCATTCCAGCAACTGTGTCTGTGTCTCACACATTCCACCAGCAGATATTTATCAACATTGCCTGTGCCGAGACACTCAAGGGTAAGGTACACTGATCCGTGCCCTCCAGAAGCTTTCGGTTTAGCATTGGCTTCTTATGTGGCTGCCCATTCCTGCTCATGAACTGGAAGCCCTGTCTAAAAACCCAGCCGGGATGGCAGGAGTCCCAACACGCCAGCCTCTAGCCAGCTCACTCAGCCCCCAGAATGAAAGACCGACCATATTCCCCAGTTGCTGTCCAAGCGGCTGCCTCCAAATGGCTGGAAGACCCAGAATTTTAAAGCCAACCATCATATGACTTAGGGTATTAACACCTTTTTACACCCTGTGAAGTTATACTGCACTTATCCACTCAGACCCCATCGTGCTTTTCTTATGTTCAGGTATGCGCACTTGTTCCAGTCTGGCTGATGCTGACTTTGGGAGCTAAATCCTGCACCACTGCGTAATCCCACTGGAGGCCAACCACACAGCCACACCAGCTCCCTCAGTCTCGTATATCCCGATAGTCAGTGTGCTTTCACAGGAAAGTGTGCAGTTAGAGACCCTAGTTCTAATACTGACTCGACAACTTAATAGTGGACAAGGAACTGAATCCCGGTTTTCCCATCCATAAAATGGGAATAGCAATTACACCAACAGGTTTGTGAGGGCCACATGAGATAATGCACATAAATCACCTACCAAAGGACTCAGAATATAGCTGATGACGAATGATCGATGCTTTGCTTTTTTCTTCTCTTCCGTGGCCCCAAGCCCCTCCCCTTCTCTACCAGCTCAGATCCAGAAATGATTTCCATGGAGCCACAGAAATTCCAGAATGGCTCTTGCTGCATACTACTCTGACTGTTCTTTTCCCCAGACTTAGCAATTAGTAGTTGAACAGACCACAGACAACCAAGTGAGGCTATCTGCAACGTAGTAGGATAGGTGCTACTTGAATCTTTCATGTTTCTATCCTGAAACTCTTGCCCTTTAATAGATGGGTCATGAGGACTCCCCCAGAGAAAGGGGAACCTGAAATGACCTACCACATGACTCGGTTAGCACGGGCAGTCACAAGATGTAGCAGACAACTGTTTTTTGCCAATATTTAACAGCACAACTCTCAAATTTTAGCTGGCCACGTGCATGGACACATGGCTGCCCAGCCCATGGCGACATTCCTCAGGCACCTTGCAGCCTTGTGGGGCCTTAGGAACATATTCTGGTTAATGGGATGTGATCAGAAATGACGTGGCTCATGTCCATGTTATGCTCTCTCCAGGAAAATGTGGATGGATTCCTCTGGTCCTTTTCATTCCTCCCACTCACGGACTGGGAACTGAGGAGAACTGGAGTAACTAACTTGGACCCAAGGTTGGAGGCCATGTTGTGACAATATCAGAGCTGGCCTGAAAGTCACTTCCCTCTATTCTATTACATAAAAAAGGGAATTACCTTCCATCTTGTTTATTAACCCACTGTCCTTTTCACTTTTATTGTTACAACGTCTTAGCCTAAACACTAAACAGTACAAAAGGATTTCTATTTAATTAGGGGTAATTGCCTACCTGATGACAGCTTACTACAACTGTAAGTAGTAACTACAGGAAATAAACAACTTCCTGTGAAATGAACATGAAAACCTTAAACTTTCAAATGCCAGCTATTGTTATATAAATGTACCTAGCATCTCAATTCTTTCCCCAAGTAAACCCCGACCAGTCACCCACACCTTTATTACCTGGTCACATAAAACTAGAAGTCTGGGACTCTGTGGCCTTAGTCAGGAACTACTGGCTCATGCTGTAGTTACTGTCTTACTCCTGTTTCTTCTCATTTTTTATCTCAATTGTTTTTCTTTCTGTTCATGGCCTTGTCTGGCTCCTTGAACGTAATTCACAAAGCACCTTCCTAATACTGACTGGAAACAATCTATACACACCCCCTTGATTATTCTATTCCCAACTACTCTATGAGAATGTCTCCCTCAATCTAGCTCAATGTCTACAATTCTGTATTTCATTGCAGACTTCCACAGTCTGCACTTCCACTTCCACATCTCTACTCAGTTCGCATGAGACCCAAAACAAGGGCCTACTAGTCATGGTCTACCCAACACAATGGACTCATTTCTCTTAGAAAAACAGGGCAGAGTTTCTGCATTTCTTTTCTTTTCTTTTAATTTTACTTATTTATTTGAGAGAGTACAAGCAGAGAGACAGACTGAAAGAGAAGCAGACTCCCTGCTGAGCAGGGAGCCCGGAACGGTGCAGGGCTCAATCCCAGGACCCTGAGCTCAAGACCCATTCCGAAGGCAGACGCCTAACTGACTGAGCCACCCAGGTGCCCCCCCCTTTTTTTTTTTTAATATTTTACTTATTTATTTGAGAGAGAGAGAGCACACAGGCAGGGGGAAGGGCAGAGGGAGAAGGACAAGAAGACTTCCAACTGAGCAGGGAGCCTGACTCAGGGCTTGATCTCAGGACCCCAAGATCATGACCTGAGCCAAAGTCACTCACTTAACCACTGAGCCACCCAGGCACCCCTTGCATTTCAATTCATAAAAAAAAAAAAAAGACAATATCCTTATATGAACATACACATAATTACTCTCCAGATGTTTTCATTGTTTGCTTTATACCTATTTTGCTGTAATTATCTGCAACAAAATCTTCCAATCCGATCATCTTCCAGAAACTGTCATCCCAGCCTTTCTCTGCAGAGTATGTCCATTTGCACACCAGGGAGCAGAGAGACCTAAGTAAATGGGAGAAAGGTAGAACCAATAACATGAGTCAGGCTTCCTTTATATTTTGCCAAATACCTACCCAGATATCTGCAGTAGTGTTAAAGAAGTAGAACATGCCAAAGTAAGTAATTACACATCGTTCAGATCCAAAGTCTCCACTTATACCTGGCCATGGGTTGGTGGTTATGGGGATGAGTGATGGGTAAATGGGTGTTCATGATCTACTCTGTTTTGTGCATGTTCAAAATTCTCTATAACAAAAAAGGTAAAAAGAAATTGAAAAAGTACCTGGTATATATACGGTCGCTCTAGTCTAAAGCAATATTTAATTGGAGGAAGACTGGAATGCTGAAGGTACTTTCCTCTCCAGCTTTATTTCTCATACATTTACCCTTAGTATTCTACACTCCAGCAATAAAAAAATCATTTGCAGTTTTCTGGGGAAAAAAAAAAGTTCTTGCACATTTCTGTGCCTTTGCCCTACTCCTATTTGTTTGGAAAATTCTTCCCAGCTTCTTCGCCCCAGATAACTCAAATACTTCTCCAGCCTAGGCTGAGTCTTCAGTTCTGGGTCTAAGTGTTCCTCCTCTGAACTTCTAGAACATGCACCATACCTTCTACCACAGCCCTTAAAATGCTGTATAATTAACTCCTTTACATATCTTCCCAGTAGTGCTACTGCTTTCCATGCTTATCTTTTATTGATAGAAAACCTTAGAAAATGAAATCTGATATCAATCCCTGATTAAAACTTTTCAATTGTTCCTCAATGCCTTCAGGAAAAAATCCAATCCTTAGCAGGGCTTAAAACACCCTTAGTGATATGACTATGCCGACCACCAGACTACTGTCTTGCTGTTCCCACCCTTGCTTTCTCCATTCCACAAAACTGAATTATTTGAAGTTTCCCATAGCAGGCCTTGATTTCTCACTTCCCTGTGCATCTTTGCTTCATTCTGCCTAATGTTCTTCACTGTTATGTATTTGCTAGTTAGCCTTCATGACTCAGCTCAGATCATCCCTTTTCATGAGGCCCCAGTGAAGGGCAAGCTGAGTCCAAAGCCTCTTCTCTAAGCTTCAATCTAGACATAGTCTTAACAATGACCACAGTAACTGTCTCTGCCCACTGGCTTCCCTAGCTCTCCCATTAACTCCAGCTACTCCTTCAGAGCAAAACCAGTCCTGCTCAGCTCTATCTCCAGTAGTGAGTCTACATTCAGGCACAAAGAATACTGAGTAAATGGCAGCACTAACAAATGAATATGGTTTGTCCACCTGGCCTGTCGTTTATCACTTATCAGGTAAGTGATAAACCTGGGAGGCTCACACACTTTTGAAGATAAACCTATCTCATAGAGTCAAGGTGCATCTCCTTCAATCACTCACATTGATTCACTCACCCACTCAAATATTTAGTATTCAGTTACTATGATTCTGGCACCAGTTGATGCCCTGGGGAACCAGTGGTATGCCAGAGACTTGGTCCTCTGCTCGCATAGAAGTTGACAGTTAAACTGGGGGAGACAGAACTTGATCAATCACATCTAAAATCACATGCTAACAATAATGTTCTAAAGGAGGTAGAGAGATGAGTGAAAACCTTTAGCAGGGGAATCGGATATAACGTGGTGGGAGGAAAGGGGAGGAAGTATCAAGCAAGAAAGGTGCTTGATAAGTATGTGGTGGAAGGAAAAGGGAGGAAGTATCAAGCAAGAAAGGCTCCACAGAGGTGACATTTTGTGAGACCTAAATTTCTTTTGAAAGCAAACAAATGTTATTGATCATTACTGATTTTTTTTTCAGATGTCATGTAGATGGCAGAGCACACTGAGCTGAGCTAAGCTAAGCAAAATAGATATACTGAGGGAGTGTTAGCGCCAATAGAAATGCAACACACATGTGCTAAATCCTTCCCCTTCCTTAAGATACATTTTTTTTTTTCAGGCATAAAGAAGGTAGTCACCTGTATAGCATATCCTGAAGAATACAAAATAGGTTAATTCCTCCTGGCACAACGCCTGGAATTCCAACTTTGTGGAAGCTCTGAGAGCTCACTGCAAAGAACAATGCTATGGAACAGAAGATAGTGTAGACAGATTATTTCTAATGATTCGACTACACAGAACAACCCTTCACTCTCCAAATGCCCCATTCATTTGCAGAATTCTATGCCTCTGTTCTGACTGTTCCTTCTGTCTTAACTGCTTGTTGTTCCTTCCACTCATTCTTGTCTACTTGGCAAACTCCAAGTCATCCAGATGGTCCGGTTGCAATGGCACCTCCCCGCTACCTCCAAGGTAAACTCATGGCTCTCTCTTTTGAGGCAGCATTCTAACTTGAAAATACTACATTCTAGTTCTTAATAGCAGAGGCAGGTTGAGTTCATGCCCCAAGTCATTGACCCTCCACATATCTGCATCTCTTGCTGTGTAATTTGCCATGCTGCCCTACCCCCTCCCACCCCAACACTGTGGACATGATCTCCCTTCCTACCTCTATATTTTGGATTCTGTCACATGACTGGATTTGGCCAAAAATGTAAGGCAGGAGGACAGCACTCTGGGTTCAAGTCTAAGCGTCAAGAGGCATTATGCGTTTCTGCTTGCTCTTTTGCATCTCTGGCACAGCCTTGAGAAAATCAGGGAGGGCCAGCCCACTAGTGGGAGGAGGAGGAGAAGAGTTAGGTGGAGCAGAGCAATGACCACCAAGCCCAACCTGGATCCCACATCCCCTCCCAGGCAGTCAAGACCTGACTCAGTGAGTTCAGTTAAGACTAGAAGAATCACCCAGCAGACCACAGCCTAAATGAGCTTACCCCTGAGCCATAAGGAAAAGGGAGGAAGTATTATTATGGAAGCCTTATTATGTTAAACTACTGAGCACTGGTTGTGGTTGGTAATGGTCAATAGTTAACTCAACATTTTATAGTACAACTAAGTTATTCCAAGTAGATACCCACCCCCCCCCCACCTCCAAAGAGGGCAAGGAGAGGGATGGCTCAGTCCTCACAGCAAGTTAGAATGGGGGGCCAGAGAGCCTGCTTTGAGGGAAAATGACTTAGCCCAGGAGGCAGGGAATTTACAGGTGCAGATGCCTAGGACAACTCCATCCCCCATCAGGATTATTCAAACACTATGAGGGTCCATTTCATGCAGATCTCTTTAAATCAACTCCTGGGCAATATAAATGTGTAAAAGCAGCAGAATTGGCAAAACACAGAGAGTACACTTGAGGCCACAGGTTCTCCAGAAATCTCCAGGACAGAGGGAGCATAGGATTTTATCTTAGTGAGTACAGACAAGGTACCAGTAGCAGAACAAAAGGTTTGCCTCCCCCTTGAGGCCTCTATTAAGACCAGTTTTCTGTCATTCCGAGGTGTTTGTGAGCAGCGGGCAACTACCAGAATAACTCTTCATCGTCAGGCAAGCTGACCTACCAGCCCACTGGTGGAGGATGTACTTTGTAGGATTACAATTGCAGGTAGGGGACTTTGAAAGACTGGGGCAACACCAGCAGGCTGAGCTGTTTCACAGATGGGCAGCCAGGGAGGAGTGTTGTCCCCAGGGAGAAGGGGCCACTGGCTGTTTGTTCTCTGGAGCCAGACTGCCAGGGCAAAAATTGCTAGGCCTTCACTGCACGCAGATCTGTTAATGCCAAAGAGACTATAACATCCTAGATGCAAGTCGAAAGACCAATGATCAATGAGCAGGGAGAACCAAAACAATATCTAAGTTAGAGGTCCAGTTCGTGTAAGAGCAGGTCCAAGAGAACATGTATAGGAGGCAGGTCTCTCTGAAGAGAGGATGGTGAAACCACAGGAACTGAGCGTCACTAAGGGAAGCAGTGAGAGCTCAGGAGGCGGCGAGAAAGACTTTCTGAATAAGAACCACCGATTTTCAATTTTCAATTTAAGTTTCTGCAGAAGAACTAAAAAAATCACTGGCACTGCTGAAATGCAAATTAATGATCTGCAAGACCAAGTGAACAACAAATCATACTTCCCAGAGCAAAGACATAAAGAGAGAAACGATGAGAGAACAGAGGCATGGAGAGCAGATCCAACAACGTAACATGAGAATAACTGGAATTACAGAAGGGATTTTTTTTTTTAAGAAAGAAGGAAGAATTAAAAATATATACACACCCAAAAGAAGATGAAAGAGATGCTATAATTAAATGAATACAGTACTAGATTTTTTTAAAAATATACTGAGCTGAAAATTTAAGCTTGCAGATTAAAACTCTCATTAAGTCCAGGAAGTGAATCCAGGAAATACTTGAATTTCAAGCGTAAACAGAAAATTATACAAGCTTCCAGACAAAAAGAATAAGTTACTTGCAAAGGCAAGAGATTCAGACTAGCTAAGGAATTCTCATCAACACCTCTGGAATGTAGAAGACAGTGGAACAATGTACAGACTATTATGAAAAATGATCCAAGAATCCTATGCCCAGACATAGGACAGACAAAATATTATTCAGCTGTCAGGGCAAAAGAAAAACATTTTCAACATGTGAAGATTCAAAAAGCAAACTTCCCAAATACATGCTCTGAGGACAACACTTGAGAATGAACATAACCAAGAAAACAAGTGATTCACATAAGGGAAATCAAAGACTAGTGGAGCCAGCGGTGGTGAGCACTGATGGTTCACTCTCTCTCTCCATATGTGTGCGTGTGCGTGCGTACATGATGTACACGTGTACATGTGTGCTCAAAGATGTGCACATACATACACACATATTAAAATCTACATAGATGATGATAAATAATGTAAGCAGGGATTTGTAATATTAAGTCTTCCTGAAACACCTCCCTGCTATATTTAGAAGGAAAAATGTAGTAATGGTCCAGAAGTGAAAATACTGCAAGCAAAACCTCAGAGTCAGAAACTAAAGAAGGGGTACAGAGGAGAAGTATGCAAATGTGTGTGTATGTATGTTTGGGCAGAATGTTAAGTTTAGTGTATGGAATGAGAAGGTAATTTCTAACAGAAACAAAAACCTT